GCCCAATTAACCTGTTAGGAGCATATGTCCTCTCCCGTCTTCAAGCCTCTATTTCTTTTACCCCAGATGGCCAGACACAATTGTCCTCCCCCCTGTTCACCACTGACATTTCAGCCCTCTGCTCCATACCCCTCCTGCTCCACATCGAGTCTCCTAACAGGGATGCAAGAGTCCTAGATGATTCCCACAGTGCCTTTGACAGAATTCCTGCCAAGTTGTGGTCCACCGGCCCAGATGACATTGGACACCTCCAAGTTCCCCCCGTTGTGGTGAAATTACTTCAAGGTGTCAATCCACCCCATAAACCTCAATATCCTCTGAGGCCTGCCCAGGCCCTTGCTATCTCCAAACAAATTGAAAGCCTGTTAACAAAAGGTGCCGTGGTCAAATGTGAATCCCCCTGCAACAATCCCCTATTCCCCGTGAAGAAGAAGACTGAAAAGGGTGAGCCAGAAAAGTACAGGATGGTCCAAGACCTCGGAGCCATCAACAATGCAAACGGTCTGGACACCCCTATTGTAGCTAACCCTCATACTCTCCGGTCAGGAGTCCTCCCTACCGCTAAGTATTTTACAGTGGTGGATTTAGCTAATGCCTTCCTTACTGTTACCCTACACCCAGTGGCGTACACATGACCCATGGGGCCACGGTGCGAAAATTGATCCGTGGGCCCCCCGCGCTTACTCGGCGCGGGTCGGGGCTGCAACACATGGCGGCGGGCACCTGGTCGCAGGGGTAGCAGGGCTGCAACCCCGCAACTGCGGTATGCACACACACTTAAAGGACCACTACAGACACCCAGATCACATCAGCTCAATGAAGTGGTCTGGGTGCCAGGTCCTTCTAGTTTTAACCCTGCAGCTGAAAACATAGCCGTTTCAGAGAAACGGCTATGTTTCACTGAGGTTAATCCAGCCTCTGGTGGCTGTCTCATTGACAGCTGCTAGAGGAGCTTCCGCGATTCTCACTGTGAAAATCACAGTGAGAAGACACCGAACGTCCATAGGAAAGCATTGAGTAATGCTTTCCTATGGGCGGTTTAAATGCACGTGCGCCTCTTGCCGCGCATGTGCATTCGGAGCTGAGAGGCGGACACTGGGGAGTCCGACGCTGGAGAAAGGTAAATGCTGAAGACACATACACACTCTCACGAACAGACGCATACACACTAGCTAACAGACACACACATTTACTGACAGAGACACACTCAGCGACAGACAGACATACATACACACTCCCTTACAAAACATACACTTTCACTGACAAACACACACTCACTAACAGACATCAAACACACTCAGTAACAGACACACACAGTAACACACTCACTAGCAGACACACACAAACACACACACACTAACACACACACTAACAAACACAAACACACACACTAACACACACACTAACACAAACACACACTAACACACACACAAACAAACACACACACTAACACAAACACACACTAACACACACACTAACAAACACAAACACACAAACAAACACACTAACACACACACACTAACTTTTGGATTGCTGGGGGGATTCCCTGGGGTCCAGTGGTGCTGCTGACCCCGGTGGGTGGGCGGGCGGGCTAGGTGGCTGGTGCACGAGGGAGCACTCTGCTCTGAGTGCTTCCTCTTCAGCTCCCTGAGGTGGCCGCCTCCTGGGCCCCCAGGAGAAGAGGCTGACCATGTGGGTACATACCGGGTCGCAGGGGTGGCCGGGCCCCCTGGTGGGCCGGGCCCGGTCGCAGCCGCGACCCCTGCGACCCTGGTATGTACGCCACTGGTTTTTCTCCAATATGTGGACAACCTCCTCCTCTGTGCTGACGACCTCCCCACGGCTGAACGTACCTCAGAAGATCTACTTTGCTACCTTGATGAAAAAGGATGTAAAGCCTCCAAGAAGAAGCTGCAATGGTGCCGCCCCCCCCCCCATGGTCTTCTTGGGGCACCCGTCACCTCACCTGGGAGCTATCTGCCCGTCACCTCACCCGGGAGCTATCTGCCCACCCACAGCCCACAAACCCCTTCATGCCTTCCTGGGCCTCATCTCTTACTGCAGGGTCTGGATTCCAGAGGCCTCCACCCTGATGCAGCCACTCTATGATGTCCTAAAACAGAACCATTTTCTCTATCCCCTGAAGCCTTGTCCAGCTTCTTTGCTTTGCAACGTGCCATCTCCACTGCGCACGCCCTGGGCCTTCCCGATTATAGGAAACCCTTCAAGTTCTTCGTGTCTGAAAGGTTGGGTCATGCCTCTGGAGTCCTCACTCAGTCCCATGGATCCTGCCAACGCCCCATTGGCTACTACTCATGCCAACTAGATCCCGTAGCAAGAGGGGGCCCCTCCTGTCTTCGAGCAGTCTTTGCAGCACAGGCCCTCATTGACAAGACAAGTGATTTTGCTACTTGGCACAAAATTTTTTCCACTTTATATTTGCGGCTTTCTTCGCCCCTGTAGACCATGTTTTAAGCCAAGGTCACCATGACAGTAACTGCACATATGTTCATAAGGAGGAAAAAACTTTACTTGATTTTGACACCTAAAAAAAGACATCATAAAGTCACCATTGACGTCAGCACTTTCAGCCAATACCGAACTATAGTTAAGTCAGTTTTTTTTATATCTATCTATAATTTAAAAAATCTTCTAAGGGCAAGTTGCCTAAAAAGAACTTATGTGACGCATGTAACAACAATGCCTTCAAAGGGGAGCTTCTCTGCGCAGCAGCAGGCCCCTCGGCCCCGCCATGGATATTATGGGATACATCAAGCAGACTGTTTCACAGTAAATCAAAGAGGCTACTGAAGCACACAGAATACCTCAATATACTGAATACAGTGCATGGTTGGATGAGCAATCTACAGATGATCCTATGAATTTGAAAGTATATAGAAGGGGATTTCCACTCCATTACACTATTAAATATGGATGAGTGGGCTAAAACTAAAAAGAAGCACTCTGCTCAAGGTAGATCTCCCATCTCTATGCTTTTGAAACTTCAGCTGCTGCATCCTGGGACATTGCTCCAAGATTTGATACAGCAGTTGTCAGATTAGCTAAACGTACCACTTTATCTGTGGACAATGCAGGCTCCCTCAGACTCTATGGACAGGATGGATTTAAACCTTGCCAATGCTTATGTAACAGCAGGCATGGGTTTTCATCCATCAGTTACCTTAACATCTTTATCCAGAGCCTTGATATTATGGATTTAATCTATTGAAGAAGACCTTAAAGAAGGAAGAAGGAGAGCATCTATTATTGAAAGCCTCCAAAATGTAAAGCTGGCTGCGGATTTTACCTCTGAAGCAGCTGTGGACAGGGTTAAAGCACTGTGGCAGAACCACTGCTTATTTGTATGTTTTCCTCCTAGTCTTGTGTGTTTTCCCCTTGGTTTTCATGTGTTGTACCTTTTCCTTGTTTGCGAGTGGCCATATGAACAAAATCTATTCGTCTCCCGAACAGGGACCACCCCAGTGCCTCATTAGAACGCTTACACCAATTAATTAGAATGTTTGCACCTGCAAAATAAGTGTGAAACCACAAGGGAAGTAATTAATGAGTGCTCCCCTGGGTGGCCGCCATTTCGTATAGACGAACGCCAACAATGGGGAGCATTCGTATCCTGAAAGGAGATGCTTCCCTTGCATGGTTTCAGCACAGGAACCTCATGAACAGAGGTGTGGGTTCCCGAGGTTGTTGGGGACACTTTTGGGGCACCGGCTAGTTTGGCAGGCTTTTCTGTGCCTGGGAGAGAGACAATATCTTTCCCCGCGCCTTGGCTCCCAGGCACAGAGTCTCCTGGGATGAAGACCCCCTGTCGTCTTGTGTGGGAGACCACTCGCCTGAGTGGCGAGCTTTCTACATTTGGGAGACAAAGGGACAGTGACCCCCATTCCCACGCTTGCACTTCCAAGTATAGAGGATCCTCGGATACAACCCCTGCTTGTCTGTGTTGAAGACCCCTTGCTTGGGGCTATACATAAAATCCGTGTGTGGCTCAATAAAATTGTGTTGTACTCCCAGAGTTGTGTCTCGTCCAGTTACTGGGGGGAAATTCCTTTGCTATTCTAAGTGGTTTCTGAGTGGCTAAAGGAAGAGATTAGCAGAGGTAGCCTGTGGTCCGCTACAGGCACTAGCAAGAAATATGGCTCTATCGGTTTCAGCTAGGAGATCATTGATTCCTGATGTTTCATCAAAGAACAGCCTATGTTCTCTACCTTTCCAATGAGATATGCTTATCGGATATTCAGAAAACATCTAGATAAGGAAGACTGCAAACCGAAGAGAGATTTTAGAGACAAAAGAACATCAGATTATTCTTATTTTTTGGTAATAGGTTATGCCGTCCTGGCAGAGAGTATAACAGACCTCAATCCTGGAGAGCTGGCCAGTCTTCATCCAGAGAAGGGAAATCAAGAGGAAGCTCTTCCAACAAGAAACTTAGAGCTTTATGATGGTCCACTTTCCCAGCCATGAGGTGTAGGAGCACATTTAATTCTATTCCAAATGATTTGGGAGGCCTTTATTCAAGACAAGTGGGTTCTAGACATAGTTTGCAGAGGATATTATCTGGAGTACAATTGCTCAGCTCCCAGAAAAGGTTTTCATTTTACAAATGGCATACAGACAAAAAGGAGAAACATTGCAGTTCTTCCTTTCATCTCTCCAGTCAGCAGGTGACATAAAAAGGTTCCAAGAGGAGAAAGAACTCTAGGATTCTACTCTCATCTATTCATCACCAAAAAAACATCAGCAGAGCTAGAGACCAATCCTATACCTTCACAGACTGAAAGAATCCCTGAAGATTTGGAAATTCAAAATTTAATCTTTGCAATCTATCCTCAAGATGGTATTCCCAGGCCAGTGGATGATGCCTATTGATGTGGAAATCAATCAATAAATTGATTATCTTGTGTATCTGCCCCTGGCCAAATTAAAGAAATTAATGTGTGCACGCTCCTGAAGTAATTCACACCAGACACAAGTTTCGGGTTAATGAAAAACTTGAGGAATGTTTATTCAGGGGGGACGACATGTCCCTTATAAAGCAAAATGACATCATAAGCATTGTCAGAGATAACATGAAATAATACATCAATAATTAATTAATTTAATGCTCTGCCTACTGAGGGTGATGTCACCGGCATCTTGGAGGTCTCCCCCAGATTCCAGCGCCATCTTGTTAATGAGGGTGTTAGTCGATGTTAAAGGGGAAACTCCCTAGCGGCCATTTTGGGTAAATCACATAGAAAGTTGAATAATGCTGATTGTAGTTGTTTTGAGTAAATAGGCATTTTACTGATATAAATTGGGTTAATATTTTTGTCCACAACAGTCCCCCCTTAAAATGACTATTTACGAAAAGAATGAAGGAAAAGGCAGCCAACTACTAGCTAGCTAACCCTAATAATGTCCCTAATTTGGCTGCAGCTCATCTGTCTTAACAGGCCTTGAACACTTCACTGCGCAGGTATCCCGCAGCGGCTAACCCACTACATCTCCTGCGTCAGACTCTTGCCCGTAGAGACAGACGCTATCCCTATACTGTCCCTATGAAGTGGTAGTAGTTGTTGTCTGTTTGAAATGGTGGGACTGAAGTGGTGTGTGTGGAGTGTCACAGTCTATATCATCAGCATCTTGGTGTAGGTATATGAGTGTAGTGTGGTCAATGGTCTGGTCTACGGTCTTTTGTAAGTATCTCTGCACACAAAGTACCACACAACAGGTTAGGAAGAGGAAGAAGATCATTACAGTAAGAACTGCCATCCCTATTTGGAAAAGAGTCCTTTGCCATCCACTCATCCATCCAAACAATTTATCCCAAGAGTTAGGAACCCCTGAATTTTTCTTTAATTCATCAGAGAGATTTTCTAATTTCTCTATGGCCATGGTTACCTTACCATTAGGACCAGTATTGTCTGGGATAAAAGTACAACATGTCATCGTCTCAGGGAGTATTTTACATACGCCCCCCTTTTCAGCTAAAATCATGTCTAAGGCTATTCTATTTTGAAATGTCATGTGAGAGGTAACCTGTAACTGTTCGGCTAAGCCCTGTAGGGCATCTCGAGTGTAGTTGACGAATCGTTGTTGATTGTAGTAGATGTAATTTATCCAGTTAACATTTTTATTAGCAGTGATGAGGGGGGTCAAGGATTTGAATCCTGCTGCCACTTCATCTCTGGTTTTGAATTCATTTGGTACCCCCTAGGTACTCCAGTGGCATCTATATATACATGTGGGTCAAAACTACCTTGGATAGGACTTTCTCTTTTTTCTCTAAGATGTGTATGTGATGAATCGTATGGACCTTGGTGGTTGTCAGGGAAGATGTGTATGGGCATAATAACTTTAGTTAGAGTACATTCTCCCCACCATAAGCCAGTCATTTTTTACCTTAGTTGCATGTCACCACAAAACCAATAAATGTCTCCCACAGATTTAATCTGATTCACTAATAATGTCGTGGGTGGATTCCGGTAAATTGCACAGTAACCAGAAGGGAATTTGCCTATAAATTTACCTGTGGCTCCATGCATTGTATAGCAAGTGTAATTACCTAGGTACACGGTGACTCCATGCGGTGGTCTGGTGTTCCCTTGAGTAATTGGGTAAGCCTTTTTCCATGATTCACATGCTGATGAATTTACAATTGTTTGTGCATAGAGGATTAAGAAACATGTCTCAACATCGGGGGGTAAATTTAGAGGCACTGTACCTAAGTGGGGTCTAGCTCCACCACAAACATAACAGTTGGTTTTATTATGATAGTTAGCATTTTACCTCATCCATTCAAGCCATAGGTTAGTATCTGAAAAACCAGTCTCCACAGCCATAGTGTCTTCAAATGTGGGATTAGCAATAGCCACCATGTCCTTAAGAGTCTTGATGTGTGGTTTCAGGGGATTTACTGTCATGTGTGTTGACCCTACCCAGTCGGGTGATGTAAGCATGTCTTGCAAATAAAATGTTCCCAAATTGTTGTATGAGCCACCCCCTTTCCAGTACATTCCCATTACGTATTCCCCAGCGTCACCTGAGCTGGGATATTCTATGTTTAAGGTAAATTTTATTGGAGTAGACCCTGTTGGTTTACACAAGGTCATTCGGCATAGCAAAGGTTTCCCATGTCTGTCAACTCAGTCTAAGGCACTCTGTGGTTTGTAACCCCATGGTCGGCCTGTGTTCCAACCCGCTGCTTTCCATGAACTACAGTGATGTCCCCAATGACCGCTCGTCACACAGATGTATGGGTCCTTCTTGCTTGGTATGTCTTTGTATATTGCTGAGTGTTGTGATTGTGGGAAAGTACAAGTAACAATATCACAGTAAGTAAATCAAGCCAAAATCATGCGCTACTCCTAGGGCATACCTGGAGTCTGTGTAAATGTTGACACACTTTCCTTCTGATATTCTGCATGCCATCGTAAGGGCTATTAATTCGGCTTCTTGTGCTGATTTGGAGGAGGGGAGTGAGGATGCTTGAAGTATTTGGACTTCTGTGGTGACTGCATACCCGGTATGGTATTGACCCTGTTCATCTGTGAATCTGGAACCATCCACAAACAACATGTAGTCAGGGTTCGGTAAAGCAGTTTCGTGCACTGTGGGAAGATGGGTAGTTTCCATCTTCATCTGTTCAAAGCAATCATGTGGAGCTTCTGGGTCTGGTTCTGTAGGAGGCACGTCTTCACATATCTCTGCATGATATCGGGGGTAACCGACAGTTCTGCAATTTATGGTCTTCTTAGTAACCCCCGTCACTGTGAGTTGTTCTTGCATTGCAGTGCTCCATTCCTTGGCCATTGGCCCAAGTTCTTTCCATGAGAGATCTGGAGACTTGGTGAAAGAAACATGAGGAACAGCCACCTCCCAATGGTGATACAAATGTGATACTTCCATAGGTAGACAGACTAGGATGACAATGTTTCCCTTGGAGTCACAGAATAGGGCTGTCAGTGTAATCTGTACCTCCACCAGGCTAAGTAATTCTTCTTCATAATATGAATCAGGACCTGGAGTGTCTCGAAACCACAGGGTGCAATGTAATTGGGTCTCGGGTTGTTCATCATGTGGAATTGTGGGATTTTCAATTTGTAGTTCCATGTAAATGTCAGGATGTATATCCAAACTGTACCACTATTGTGGAACTCCCCCCTTGGGAAGTGGCAGAAGAGTGGCCGGATTCAAAGAGTAACATCGTTGCAGGGTGACGTTGTCCGGGAAAAGAAGAGAGGTTTGAAGGCGAAGGTGCCTCTGACAGGAAAGATGTTTCGGTTGGACTTGATTCAAAATAGCAGTGATATCATGTGGAGCCAGAACAGTCAGTTTATGTCCAAGAACGAAATCATTAGTTTTATCCAGAAGGGCACTTGCAGCGAAGACAGCACGCAAACAGGAAGGACCTCCTCTGGCTACAGGGTCAAGCATGCAGGAGAAGTACCCTATGGGGCGCTGACGGGGCCCGTGAGATTGAGTAAGGACCCCAGAAGCATCGCCCATCTTCTCGGAGACAAAAAGTTTGAACGGCAATTGGTGATGGGTATAGGGAAGGGAAAGATTTGTGATTGCACGAACTCTGTATCTTGTTAGGTGACGGGTGCCATGGGAAAGACAATGTCCCAAGAAGACCACGGAGGGCCGGCACCACTGGAGTTTAGCTTTGGAGGCTTTGCAACCTTCTTCTGCGAGGAAACAGAGAAGATCCACAGAGTGGCGTTCAGCTTGTGGAAAGTCGTCTGCACAGAGCAGTATATCATCAAACAGAATAAAATAAAAGTAAGGGCTGCGCTGAATAAAACTCTGTGTAGAACAAATAGTCCAGATAAAATAAATGGGAAAGTCTTATCTCAAGGCGTCTGTTGTAATCGTGTATGGTGGTGGTGTTTGGTCCAGAAAGATTGTCCTTGTTGAAATCCTCTTTTTAGGTCCACTCGGATGTGAGAAATAAGAAATAAAAAAAGAAAAATAAAAAAAGAACCAAATAGTGTAGTATTTTCAACAGTGGAAGTTATAAGAAATATAAAAGTGTGAAGTGTAAACTCACATTTGCCAGAGCTGTGACCTGCTCTGGTATAGAAGGCGTACAGCGGTTTGATCCCCGCTTACAGGATATAGGTGGAGTGTCCTTCGTCTGTTTCCTCCGTCCTTAATGTGGTAAGCACTCGAAATAAAAAAAACAGCCAATAGTGTTCTCTGGATAAACGACTTAAGAATAGAATAAAAGAATAAAAATGGGTACTCACAAGATAGGAGCAGATATACTGCTCCTTGTATTTTGCACTGGTGGTATTATCCCCACCTAGGATTTCTTGGAGTCCAGGTACGGTAAAAAGTTGCCAGGTAAAAATAAATGTGTGTTAAAAGATAAGTGGTACAATAAAGATTACCAAATATACTTTAATATTAAAATTACACAATATAATAACCATAAACACGTTTCGCCTGTACGGCGTTATCAATATGGGTAAAGAACCTGAAACCTGGCAATAAAATCTTTAAATAGCACATACAATCATTTGAAAATGGCGCCAAAATGTCAGCAGCCAATCAAAGTGAAGTTTAAAATAAGTATACTTAAAACAAGTTCAAATTGAGAAAAATACAATATATATGTATTAATAAACACTGAATCAACTTTAAAATATTCTTACATATTAAAAATAAACAATAGTGTACTTAAAATGTACAGTTTTCTACACGGTCATGTGACCGGCATAAAACAAATGGGGGTCGGTGGGAAATTTAGTTTTGACGCCAGACGGCACTGCGCAGCCGCTGGCTTCATGTAAGGGGTTGGCCAGATGTGCCGTCGCCAAGAGGAGGCGCGGCTACATCAAGAGACGTCTCTTGATGTAGCCGCTCCTCCTCTTGGCGACGGCCCTTACATGACGCCGGCGGCTGCGCAGTGCCGTCCGGCGTCAAAACTACATTTCCCACGTTACATTTAAAATTGAAATTCGCCAGATTGGTTACGTTGCCTTTGAGACTGTATAGTAGCCCAGGAATGAAATTTACACCCATAATAGCATACCATTTGCAATAGTAGACAACCCAAGGTATTGCAAATGGGGTATGTCCAGTCTTTTTTAGTAGCCATTTGGTCACAAACACTGGCCAAAGTTAGCGTTAGTATTTGTTTGTGTGTTAAAAATGCAAAAAACACTAATTTTGCCCAGTGTTTGTGACTAAGTGGCTACTAAAAAAGACTGGACATACCCCGTTTGCAATACCTTGGGTTGTCTACTATTGCAAATGGTATGCCATCATAGGGGTAATTTTCAATCTTGGGCTACCATAGGGTCTCAAAGGCAACCTAACCAATCTGCAGAATTTTAATGTGAAAAAAATGAAACGCAAGCCTTATATTTGACGCTGTAACTTTTGAAAACTCCATAAAACCTGTACATGAGGGGTACTGTTGTACTCGGGAGACTTCGCTGAACACAAATATTTGTGTTTCAAAACAGTAAAAAGTATCACAGCAATAATATCGTCCGTGTAAGTGCTGTTTGTGCGTGAAAAATTCAAAAAACGTCACTTTTACTGGCGATATCATCGTTGTAATACATTTTACTGTTTTGAAACACTAATATTTGTGTTCAGCGAAGTCTCCCGAGTAGAACAGTACCCCCCATGTACAGGTTTTATGGTGTCTTGGAAAGTTATAGGGTTAAATATAGTGCTAGCAAATTAAATTCCCTTTACTTTCGGCATGGGTTGTCAGGCAGGTCCTGCTAATTGTAATTAATTAAGATACCTAATTATGTAAAAATATTACATAAATATATATGTAGAATTAATATATGTATATATCTATATATTTATTTTTAAATATTTTTATTTATATAGCTATATATATAGTGATATATACGTATATATTTATGTATATAGATATATATATTATTTCGTTCTACATGTATTTTGATATATATATATATATATATATATATATATTAATTTCACAATACAGTTAGAACGAAATAACACACATCTATATATTTTTAATTATTTATTTTTAATTATTTTTTTTTTATTTTATTTTTTAACGTATTTACATATTTATTTTTTTTATATTATATATAAATATATATATAATAATAATAATTATATATATATTTAATCAGTATCAGTCTACGTGTAATTTGATATTAATATATATATATAATTATATATATATTAATAGTAAAATACACCTAGACGGTGTACATGTGTGTATGTATATGTGTATATATATACTTAGATCATATATATATATATATGATCTAAGTATATATATTTTTTTTTACACCAATAAATTTAATTTTAATTTTATTTCCAGCCAGCAGGGGGACCACCTGTCATTACAGGCAGCCCCCCTGCTGGCAATGCAGGAGGCAGCCTACCCGGCCATGTGATTGTGGGGTCCTCGCT